TTCGGGACTTTGGTAGATTCAAAATTTCCAGTCTCGGTAGTAACCCCGAAAATATCGAAAATGGTATCGAAATCGAAATAGTGTACTTTACAACAAATTTTCTATGAAAATATAGCAGTTATGGAAATCAAATATTTTTATTTGAATTTCGGTAGTAAAAATGATAAATGAAAGTCGAAAGAAATATGACCACAGTAGATAGGTCGCGTTGATATGTTGATCATCCGCTATGTGCTTATTACTTAATCGTAAATTTCAAGACTTTAGTTGCAGGACTATTTTTGACAAATTTTTGGGTAAAATACCGGGACTGGGAACCCTACCAAGCGCGTATTTTTTTGTCATTTGTTTTACTTTTTTTTAAAATTATTAATAGTAGAAACACTCGTTGGGTATATTTCGAGTTAAAAGTTTGACGGATCATCGTTTCTTTTCTAATGCTAAGTTTCATAAAATATATTAGGCTTGTGCATGAGTATAGATAAATTACAGTTGTTGCAGAATCCTACTATATTTTATGAGCTCGTTGGCTATTAAAAAAGCTATGGTGTAATAACTTTGTATGCCATGAGTATTGAAGTTGGGCCGAAAAGAAATATTTTTTAATTGGAAATATGCGCGGGGTATCTCTACCCATAGTGTCTTGAAGTCTATCTGAAAAAAAAAAGATATATATATTTAAAGAAAAAATTCATAATCAATAAACACACACACACACACGAATATATATTAATATACATTAAGCTGATTTAAGTAACTGTTAATGTACCTCTAAGTTAGCCACAGTTATGAACTGATAGTGGTTAATTATTATAAATTGTATTTTATATTACAATATACTGGTGTAGTTAATTCGATTGTTAGAAATAAAACTATTAATAGTTAAGTAAATTTAGATCAATTGGACTGATGTACAGATACATTAATAAGTTTTAAAATATTTCACAATAAAAACGTTTAAATAAGAAATAATTACTTAGAACTGAAATAGTGCAATTTTGAGTGATCTTATAAGTAAAAAATTCTCTGTGTGATGTCCTGTTGTGTGTTTAAAATCTTTTTTGTTTATTGACTAATTAATTATCAAACCGAAATTCTTTTAAGTATTAATTTTAGCAAATCAGCTGCATTTTGGTGCAGATACCACAGCTGCCTAGCATTTAGTATGATTTTTGCTCAAAATTTTCTGTGCATTTAATGTAGCTGTCACAAATGGTCGTGACAATAATTATTATTGTATATTAATTATATGAGTGTGAATTCTGCGATCGTTCTCGTCCAGGAATGCCACATGAAATGTTGGTGACGAATAAGTGATTAAATATATATTTTTTATTTAAATATAAGGTTGTTCGGAAAGTCATTTCGTTTTTTCCCGGCAGAGGATTTAATTGTATTCTTTTGGACCCAACTTCACATTTAAGCCGTATAATTTTTATATGCTTTGAGAGCTCATATAGCAAGGCTTGTGTGTGAAAAATTCCAATTAATTCTACGCAGTAGTTTTTGGTTGGTGCCCTTTTAAATATGGAGAGCGATAAGCAGCATTTTCGACATATCTTACTGTTTTACTACAG